TGTGTGTGCAGGTGTGCTGTGTGTGTGCAGGTGTGTTGTGTGTGTACAGGTGTGCTGTGTATGCAGGTGTGCTGTGTGCAGGTGTGCTGTGTGTGTACAGGTGTGTTGTATGTGTGCAGGTGTGTTGTGTGTGTGCAGGTGTGCTGTGTGCAGGTGCACAGTGTGTTTACACGCAGGCCTCAGCCTGTACCTGTCTCTTGCTCTGCCCGTGCGGCTCACCGTTTTCCAACCCTCAGTGCTTGCTGTGCATCTTGACTGGCCCCTCCCCTCAGGACCCTGCCATCAGCAGCTCGGGCCCTGCAGGGAGCTACAGACCCTACGATGAGGGGCTGAGGAGAGGAGTCTTCATCACCAATGACACCCGGCAGCCACTGATTGGAAAGGTGTGAGTTAGAAGGTGGCCACAGGACAGTGCAAGGAGTTTTCAGAAATTGTCACCATCCAGTGGCCCAGGGTGTGAGGAGGGTGTGAGTCAGACCTGGCAGGTGGGCTTCTGACAAGGAGCCCCCTCTGGGGCCTTGGCGCAGTGGCAGCCAGCCTGGGAACCGTCCCAGAAATGTGAAGCCTCTGGCCCTGTCATTCCCTGGACCCAGGTGTGTCTTACCAGGTGCCAGACCTTCCCACAGGAAGCCGGTGGGCACACAACTGGGCAGGTGAGGGTCCCAGCCAAGAGAGAGGCTGCAGGACACCCCACAGTACAGATGTGTGGGACTCAACTTCTGAGGCCTCTGTCTCTCATGTCAGGTGGGGCTCAGGCCCCTGAGGGTCCCTGGCTGTCCATCCAGTGGCCCATCTCCTAGGGAAGCTTCTCCCAGGAGCAGCGTTCATTGTGAGGTTCATGCCCAGGTCCCACCCTCGAGTCTGCACATGGGGATGCCCCCCTGGGGCAGGGACACAGCTCTGCCAGTGGCGGGGTGCAAGACCAGCAGGTCCTGGATGAGGCTGAGCCTCCTGTACCCTTGTCCTCAGGTGTGGCCCGGAGCCTGTGCCTTCCCCGACTTCACCAACCCCGAGGCTCAGCAGTGGTGGCAGGACATGGTGGTAGAGTTCCACGGCCAGGTGCCCTTTGATGGCATGTGGATCGTAAGTGACCCCCCCACTGCACTCCATCCCTGCCGCCTCCCGGGGCCATGGCAGCCTCTGCACCGTTGGGTCCACACTCCTGGGTGATTTGCTTACTGCTGGCCCCCACGTTGCCCTCTGCCCCGTGGCAATGTGCACACCACTGGCCTCTCCTGCAGGACATGAACGAGCCATCCAACTTTGTGAAGGGCTCAGAGGTTGGCTGTCCTGACAATGAGCTGGAGAACCCTCCCTATGTGCCTGGTGAGCACCTTCTAGCCGTGTGTGTGTGTGTGTGTGTGTGTGTGTGTACTGTGCGTGTGCTGCAGTCCTGTTAGTCTTGTGTGCACGTGTGTGAACTTCTGTCCACCTCCACCCCAGCACCATGTATGAGGGTCCCTGTCAGCCCTGGGCACCCTGTAAATGAGGGTCCCTGTCAGCCTGAGCCTCATGTGCATGTCTGAGGGACCCCGTCAGCTGCAGGTCCTCTGTTGTGTGAGGGCCCCTGTCACCCCAGACTGGCTCCAGCCCTTCTGTAGTTTCTTTGCCTTGAGGATAACTCACTTTCCCTGGCACCAGATGAGGAGTTGACCTAAACCTGGACTTTGCATCTGGCCAAGTATTTATTTCTCGTAAGATGCGGCAGCAGCTAGCTAGAAGGGGGAGTTCCAGGAGTGAGGAGTGAGGTTCCAGGTGGGGGTACCCCCAGGAAGGGCAGACACCATGGCTGAGCCCAAACATGTCCAGGGAGACTGGAGGGCCCAGAGACAGCTGTGAGGGAATCTGGGGTTTGCCCCTGCCCTCAGTGAGAGTGGGGACCTCACAGGCCCAGCTCTGGGGTGACCAGAAGCATGAATGGGAAAGTGCAGGTCTGCCGGGGGGCGGGAAGGGGGGACTTGGAGTTCAGGCCGGATACACCCTGAACTGGGCCTGGGCAGGGTTGAGGGTCCTGGAAGTGTGAGGAGAGCCTCCTGGCCAGGAGTGGTCCGTGAAACTAGCCCCGTCTTGCAGGTGTGGCAGGCGGAAGCCTCCAAGCGGCCACCATCTGTGCCTCCGGCCAACAGCACTTGTCTTCCCACTACAACCTGCACAACCTGTACGGGCTGACCGAGGCCATCGCCTCCCACAGGTGAGCCGGCCCCCAGAGCTCATGGGGCCACCTGGTGGGCGGGGCGCTCTGCTCGTCCAGCCCCCACCTGCAGGAGTCAGGACCTGGCAAGGATCCTAGGGGGCAGGTTTCTGGTGCGTGGTGGGGGAGACCTCCAGAGGTGTGGCTTGTTTTCAGGGTGGGTGAGGCTAGCTCAGAGCCACGCCCCCAGCCTCCAGCTCCCTGGTCCCACCCTGTCCACATAGCACACCTGTATGTGCACACACTCACACAGCACACTGTCCACACTGCCCGTCCGCACACTCCAGCCTTCACAGGGCAGTGGGCTTCCTTCCCCAGCTGTTCAGTCTTGTCCCTGCTTCACCCAGGGCCCTGGTGGTGGCTCGGGGGATGCGCCCTTTGGTGATCTCCCGCTCGACCTTTGCTGGCCATGGCCGATATGCAGGCCACTGGACAGGGGACGTGCAGAGCAGTTGGGAGCATCTCGCCTTCTCAGTGCCAGGTGAGGGTAGCTGGTGGGGGTCTGCTGCAGGCACAGGGCTGGGGCTGGGGCCTGGGCTCACTGGCCGCTGGCGTGCTGCAGTGGTGGTTGCTGGCCTTAACTGTGCAGGTCTGCTTGCCTGTGTAGGCCTGGACCTTGTTGTCTCGGAAGGTGGCTCCCGGGTCGGGCTGCTGGGCTCAGCTGTCCTCAACTGGCTCGTGTGAGCAGGTGTTTGTCAGCAAAGTGCATGCGGACCTCAGATTCCGTGACACAGAAATGAAATCTTCAGGCTCCAGCTGGCCCTGTCCTGCCCTCCACCTCCTAGGGCTGGGCTGGGCTGGGCTTCCCAAGAAGACACAGAGTGGGTGGGGCTGACTCCGCACAGTCCTGTCCCCTGACTGGGGGTGGGGGGTGCTGGTGCCAGACCAGGGGTGCAGGGGCCCTCACACTGACCAGGTGACTGGTCTGTCCTGACTCCCTCCCAGAAACTCTGCTCTTTAACCTGCTGGGCGTGCCTCTGGTCGGCGCCGACATCTGCGGCTTCCAGGGCAACACCACAGAGGAGCTGTGTGTACGCTGGACGCAGCTGGGGGCTTTCTACCCCTTCATGCGCAACCACAACAGCTTGACCAGCCTGGTAAGGACCAGGCAGCCTTCCCTGTCCGCGTGGAGGGTGGGTCTGCAGCCACAGATCTGCCCGGGGCCCCCTGAGGTCCTGCCACCGTCCCCAGCCCTGGTGTGGCCAGAGCCTGGAGCAGGTCAGCCTTTGTGCGTCACCACCTGTCCCCTCAGGCTGGGCAGCCAGGAAGCCCTGAGTCTGCCACAGTCTTGGGGACCTCAGCTCTGAGCCCAGGTGTCTTCCCACCTGCTGCAGCCCCAGGAGCCGTACAGGTTCAGGGAGCCGGCGCAGCGTGCCATGAGGAAGGCCTTCGCCCTGCGCTACGCGCTGCTGCCCCACCTCTACACACTGTTCCACCACGCCCACGTCGGGGCCCAGACCGTCGCCCGGCCCCTGTTCCTCGAGTGAGTGCCTGCTGCCGGGAGGGCCACGGCTGGGGGATTCGAACCCCTGACCAGTGCTTAACCCACTGTGCCCTTGGGGCTCTCCCGAGGGACTCGTGTTCTCTGTCAGGGTCACCCTGTGACGGCAGGAGGAAGCGTTGTCCAGTCCTGCCCGCTGCTGCAGCCACGTCAGTCCATCTCTCTGAACATCTTCCCCTCTTGTAACGACTTGTGCGCCAGCATCTGGTCGAGGGTCTTCCTGTCACTGACCCTCCGCCTTCCCACACATGGTGTCCCTCTCCGGGGAACAGCCTCTGCTAACAACATGCGCAGAGGACGTGAGGCCAAGCGGCCTCGGCCTCCTGATCCTCAGCCGGGTGGACTGACGCAGTGACCGCAGCGATGGGCTCAAGTGTGTCAGAGATGGTGAGGACGGCAGGACAGGGCTCAGCTCCGTTCACAGGGTCCTGAGTCACCCATGGTGGCACCTGATGACCACCTGACAGCCCTCCTCCAGCTGTCCTTTAGTCCTGCACCTTGGCCTCCTGCAGGGATTCGCCACCTGCCCGCACAGCCATGGTGTGCGAGGCCGGGCCTGCGTCCTCACTTTGAGGACACTCCGGCTGCACTGCTTCCGAGATGGACTTGTCTGTCCTCCTGGCCATCCATGAGCGTCCAGTTCTCCCGCCGCCCCACAGGCCAAGTCCATCTTCCTTAGTCATTGCCCGACTTTCAGGTGCATACAAAGCACCTGAAAGATCGGGCCTTCGTCAGGGGCACCTCAGTGCTTAAGCTGACAGCCCTGCTCTCTACTTGAAAGAGGCCCCTGATGGCAGATTTGCCCGGTTCAGTAGCTGTGACCACTGCTTCCGTGGGCCCTGATTGTAAACCTGAGGAAGATGAATTCTTAAGGAGTACATAGGTGTTTGGAAACGTCCGCACCTTCTCAGCCCACCGGGCGTGAGCCGTGGGTGGGTTACCATTCAGAAGCTGGCCCTGGGAGACCTCACAGGGCACGAGAGGAGTGAGGGACCAGGACTGAGGGCTGGAGGACTCGAACAGTGAAGGATGCACATGGGACCTGGTTCCGTTTGCATCATGAGGCGACAAGGGTAGCGGCAAAGGGGGCCGCTGGGGCCACCTGCAGACACTCAGCCCGCTCCTCTATGTGTGGGAGGCGGTGCCCACCGTCACCCTGAGCTCCTGCAGGGATGTCCACCCCATCTGCCCGTTGGTTCCCTGAGCACACCTCAGCAGGGGCCCCCTCTGTCCTGGTCGCTGGCCCACAGGCCCATCCCTCTTGTGAAGGTTCCCCCAGGACCCCCGCACGTGGACTGTGGACCGCCAGCTCCTGTGGGGGGCAGCCCTCCTGGTCACTCCAGTTCTGGAGGCTGGGAAGACCCGAGTAACTGGCTACTTCCCTGAGGGCACGTGGTACGACTTGCAGACGGTGAGCCAGATCCCCTAAAACGAGAACTGGGAGCTGGGACCTCCCTGAGCCTGGGAGGAGGCTGCGGGACGGGGTGCCCCACTACCTCACCAATGCCAGGTCCCCCAGAATGAGGGCTGGGGGGGACCTCCCTGAACTGGAGAGGGGGCTGTGGGACGGGGTGCCCCACTACCTCGCCAGCACCTCTCTGCACTGCTTCTCCCCACAGAACAGGTCCAGAGGCCCCTGTGCACTTTGCACTGACCCTCCTGCCCACTTCCATGCATGACTTCACAGCGCCCTGGCCCGCCCAGCCTGGCCCTGTCTCGGCCTCTTGTCTCTGGGCCCCTGTTGTGTGGCTGGGCCCCTGCAGGCAACCCTTCTGGGCCTGAGGCCACATCCCAGTGAATGTTTGGGGTGCCCTCCCCCACTGATGGGACCTTTGCTCTCCAGGTGCCAGTGGACGCCCTGGGGAGCCTCCCACCATCGCCCCCCACACCCTTCAAGGCAGCCATCTTCAGCGAGGGACAGTGGGTGACACTGCCTGCCCCACTGGACACCATCAATGTCCACCTGCGGGCCGGGTACATCCTCCCTCTGCAGGTATCAGGGCCACGCGTGGGGAGTCCCCTGCAGGGACCTGGGCCAGTTACTGAGTCTCATGGTCACTGAGGGATGGATTGGGGAGTCCAGGCTGAGAGGAGGGAGGGTCCGAGGGCGGGAGGAGAGGACAGGAGAGCCTCAGGCGAGCTGGACATCTCCCTTGTGGCCGGGGCTGGTAGGGCTGCCACTTCACTGCCCGCTTCCGGGGAGCCCGCCAGGGCCTCATTCGGATCCCAGGATCTCCTCCTGGTGCTGACAGGTGTGGACACAGGGCCTGGGAAGCCACTGGACTTACAGAGGGAGCTTGTGAGGGACTTGGGGGCAGGGTCCCTGAGGTGGGAAGAGACAAGCTGGAGGTCCAGCTTGGCCCAGGGGAGGGGGCAGAGGCCCACCAGTGAATAGGGCAGTTCTGCATGGCAGTGACTGCACGGGGCCTGGTCACCCCATGGGGACCTTGGACAAGGGACGGGCAGTGTAGTAGGAGGCGCTTGGCCACAGCAGCTGCTTGGCCCATAGGCTGGGCTGTGTGTCCTGCGCTTGGGCAGGGGCCCAGCCTCCAGTCACTCACCTGGCACCATGCTCTTCAGGGCCCTGGCCTCACCACCACCGAGTCCCGCAAGCAGCCCCTGGCCCTGGTGGTGGCCCTGAATGGCAGCGGGGAGGCCCACGGGGAGCTGTTCTGGGATGACGGGGACAGCCTGGGCGTACTGGAGCGTGGAGACTACACTCTGGTGGTCTTTGTGGCAGAGAACGTGAGTCATGCTGCTGGGGTCTGGAGGGGACGCTGCCGGGACGCGGATGCTCCAGGGCCAGAGAAGGGCTGTTCCCAGGGCCGTGGGCGAGTGCCCAGGCAGGAGCCCAACAGTGTGGCACCTGTTTGCATGGGCCATTGTACGTCCCCTGGGAGGGAGCTCCTTGGGCATAGAGCATGGGCTCTGGGCTTCCCACTGGCTGTGCCCACACCAGCATGACCTCCTGTGTATGGTCAGAACACTGTGGCGAATGAGCTGGTGCACATGGACAGTGAGGGGGCCAGCTTGCAGCTCGGGAAGGTCACCGTGCTGGGCGTGGCCACAGCCCCAAAGCAGGTGGTCTCCAATGGAGTCCCCGTCTCCAATTTCACCTACAGCCCAGACACCAAGGTAAGCCCCTAAGTCCCAGAGGGTGGTTTGCAGGGTCCCTGTGGGCCAGTCCACACGTTGGGTGGGTGGTCCAGGACCCTCAGGGTCCAGCCTTGGGGAGGAGGGCAGGACAGCCAGCACATCTGTGCACATGGAGGTGTGCACAAGGTATGTCACGGGAAGGCTGAGGGGACAGACAGCAGGAGCCCCCCAGGGGCTGGGGTTTAAAGCTCCTCACCCTCCTGCACTCTTCAGTGTTTTGGTCTGTAACATTAGTTATACAGTGGTGTGGTCTAGGAAACCTCCGCGGACCTTCCCTCCCCATCCAGTTGTTTCTATCTGTCCGTAGTTTCTTTAAAGCCTCTTCCCTCCGGTAGACGCACCTGCTGCAGAGAGTCGATGACATGCTGCTGTCTGACCTCCCCTCCCTGTCTCCCCTTGTTCTCCCCCTCCAGTCGACGCACAACCTGTTGTGTTGAGGACATAATCTGACCTCCCCTCCCTGTCTCCCCCTCCAGTCAACGCACATCCTGTTGCGCTGAGGACATGTCGTCTGACCCCCCTCGTTCGCGGTTCCGTTCCAGCTCTCCTCACACCCATCCCTCGTTTCTGACAGTGCTCTTATTCTCAGGCAGCACCTGGGACTGGACTGCTAACTGCGGTTGCCTCTTTCCTGCAGATCCTGGATGTCCCTGTCTCACTGTTGGTGATCGAGCCATTTATCATCGGCTGGTCCTGAACCCGGAACCAGGAGCATAAGCCCTGAGCCAGCCTGGCCCGACTACTGACGCCTTGTTTGCCTTTAGTCTACCTCCCGGGTCAGGGTTCTGGCCTGCTGGGACACCTGGCTCCTCAGCCAGGGTTTACCTCCTCGGACCTCCAGCCCCCAAAGGGGACACATATGAAATGAGTAGATGCTGTTAACAACAGAGGTGACGCCTGGGGGGGCCTGTCTCACCTGCACCCAAGGTCCCATCCTGCCCCAACTGCTGCTGTGTGAAAGCGGGGAACTGGGCCGCTGCCCCAAGAACAGGCTGACCACTGGGTCTGATTAGAGTCCAGTAACTAGGGTGAGCTCGTGGGACCTGGGCAAACAGTTCCTCTCAGTGCAATTATTTTTTTAATAAAATGGATATTTGGAATTGAGCTGCTTCTATTTTGGGATGTGGGGCAGAAAGGCTGTGTCCTCCTGGCGTCCCCAGGCTGAGCAGGGGCTCCGGGAACTTGAGTAGGAAAGCCTCGTGCACGGTCCGTCTCCAGTGCAGGTGGCCTCCAGGGGCCCTCCTGGAACCTTCGACTGTTCTCTCCTGCACCCGAAGAGGAAGGAGGGCGGTAAAGCCTGAAGATTAGAAAACAGCACTGCTAGGGCTGCCCAGAGACGCAGCCAGGTGGTGCACCTTAGGAAAGGAGAGCCCACAGGAAAGGTTTTATCTTTAATGAAAAAGTCTACAATATTATTTACACGTGGGTAAGAAAAGACCGTTGGACCCCCAGCTTCTGTTGGGATGGGCCACAGGGGCTCCGGGTAAATCAGAGCTGCCTGTGGATGGTTCCAAGGTGAGAATGCGTAACAGGGGAGGAGCAACTCCCACCTCGTCTGCCGCCCAGCAGGCCGGGCCTTCAGATCAGATCCGCAACGTTCATGGGCATCTCGTCGATCTGGGTGGAGTAGTACTGCTCGATGTCTCGGAGGATGCGGATGTCGTCGTTCTTCACGAAGTTGATGGCCACACCCTTCCGGCCATATCGCCCAGAACGCCCAATTCTT